ATCCACTGAGTATTTTTTATTATGAAATAAATAATTTCATTAAGAATTTCATCGAATCAATTGTATTCAATACCTCTTATTTAAGCGAAATATATAAGTTTCCAAAAATTATAACTTGGGCTATAATCCCACAGTTGTTTTACAGCGGTGTCATCTGACTGGAAGAGGCGCGCAACGGTCTTGAGTCTGTATGAACGGCGTGAATAGGTTCGGGGAGGTAAGCCCGTTGTCACCAGTCGCCGAGGGTTGTAAATCAGAGAGAGGGAACTAGGGTAGAAAGTGAAAGTGAGTGCACTGCTGGGGCGGGTTTACTAGGATGGGCCTACTTCCACTGCGGAGGCGTCCTGGCGGTGACACGACCAGCAGACAGCAATCCTAGGGAATATTTTGTCGTCTTGTAGTTCCAACTAAACTCACCAGGGTCGCAGAAAATTGAAAACAGTTCGAGGTAGGGAACCCCCTTAAGGGATAAAAAAGTGATAATAGCTTAAGACAGTAGATATTTATGGCTATTATTGATATACCAAGTCTCACCACTTTATCTATATTGTTAAAAAAAAATATAGCCAGTCCAGGACTTTTCAACCATACTGTATAAAGCCAACACGAAATTTTTCCGTTGAACTCCTCCGAATTTCTTAGGCGATTTTGACCATTCATGTATCATTAGAAAGAGCGTGTCACGTACATTTGCAACCAACCTTACATTTTTTAAATCCCTTGGGCTCAGCCCCAGTGGCTCTTAAAGAACCCATGTTATGCCTATGAAGAACATATTGATTCATTTATATTAGGATAAGCTCAATTAATTGCTGTTATGCAATTCAAGGAAATAATGTAGGCTACATTATTAACATGTTACTGATTTGTTTGAAATACTATATTTACTATTTCAATTTGGGTTTGCTGGATAATTTAATCCATTTTACCAAACAATAAAAATTAATGGACAAAGTACTATATTTCATGAGCAATCATTGAAAGGACCGATTGAAGTCCTCATCAACCAAAAGAATGAATGCCTACTAAAGCAAATAAAATTGTGACGAACATGTAATGCACGAAATCAGGTGGTTATTAAGAATGTGAAAAAGTGTATCGCTATTCAAAAACAGACAGAAAGGACAACCTTATACGAGTGTGAGTAAGTCCGAAAACAACTCTAAAAAACAATAAGCAATTATTATATCATTGGGTATACACGTATCTACTGACATGTATACTCAATGCTTATATCGAACTGTTATATGTACATCGTGAGTATTTCCATTAGTTGTTCCATTTAGTTGTGTGTCCATTAGTGTAATATTTTAGTTGACTCTTTTAAAGTCAGCGGAAATTGTAACTGTTATTACCCTTGAAATAATGTTTGTGTAGTACTTTGCAATCCTACCAATGCTTATAGAATCATACGATTAAAATTTTCTGGTTAGAATATGTCGCATAGAGTGGTGACTACTGTATCTAGTAAACACACAACAACAAATTTGAAATTGCTTATGGAACACCCTATATTTTATCATTTTTCGGATAGAATAGGCAATTTAAAGACTTTTTTATCCTTGACATTTTTTCGATAAACCCACTCGTTTAGGAGTTACAGCCTATGGAAAAATGACTTCCGGTGTACATTTTACATCATGTAGCTCATAAACAAGTAAGTTTATAGCAAAAATGCAAAGAGTAAAAAAGTCTTACAATTGCATCCACATTCCAAAAACACCATAAAATTCATTAAAAATATGAATTATATTATTTTAAAAATGGTGGCAAACTTGAAAAGTGGAAAATTTTTATTTTATAGTCTTTAAGGAATGTAGATGCAATTCTAAGACTAATTTACTTTTTGCAATTTTGCTCTAAACTTACTCGTTTAGGAGCTACATGATGTAAAATGTACACCGGAAGTCATTTTTCCATAGGCTGTAGGCCCTACTCCTAAACGAGTGGGTTTATCGGGAAAATGTCAAGGCTAAAAAAGTTTTTAAACTGCATATTCTATCCGAAAATATGATAAAAAACCATATAAAAAACCATATAAAATCATATTTTTAACTGCCACAAAAAATAAAGGAATGTTCCTCATTTAAAGTTTACTCTAATTCTTACAGCTTCCGATTTTCCAATGCTGGCCTCCTTGAGTTGATCACCCTGTATATATGAATTTGAACGGATGGTGTTTTTGGTCTTTAGGGGCCTCAAAACGAAAAATTAAATCGGTCCCGGGCCCAGGTGTTACCATAAGTACTTCGGTAATAGCTTATTCCCTACATGGGAAATTCGCCAAAAACCTAATAGTTATATAGAACAATATTACATTCAACCAGCTGTTAGTTAAAACAAATTATATGAGACTAAAACAAATCGATGATTACAAAGATCCCTTTAAAAAATAATTTGAACATCCTACTATTTTACTATGCATATTTAATTAATCTGCCATCCTCATACCTAAGAATTGAATGTATCAATGGTCAGCATTACACATAGTATAAATAAGTCAACTCTAAATATGTCTTTACATTTGTTTCCAAATGCTGAATGTTTACAGCTGATGTATGTTAAGCAAATTATATTGTACTAAAAGCTAGCTTAGAAGTTTAGCGTCGGCTGCTAGACTTTTTAAAAATTAAAACTTAATTTCTAAAAAACTGGGACCCTTAATTATAATGGCTTTGACATTCCCTAGTTCTCAAAATTATCTTTCTTTCAACACAAAAATAATGAAAATCCGTCGACTGGTGGATTCAGAATGTGAAAAACCCCCATTTACGTTTTAATAATATACAAGCTGCTACACCCGTGCTTTGCAACGGGAAGAAAATGTGACCTAGAGAGCTATTCAAGTAATTCTGATGTGTGTTTTAAATTACGGCAAGTCTATAATTTAGTTTGAAAATATAAAATGATTTAAAAGTGTAAACCTACTTACTTTCAAACTCCTACTTTTTATGTTAATAGATTCAAAAGTATAGTATATGACAACATACCTTAGTGTAGCAACAGCATCAATTTCTTCATATTGATGCTTCACGAATGACATGTTTCACCATAGTTCTTCAACTTTAGTCAAGCCTCTTTACATGTAGCCTACTAATGAAACTTTGAGCAATACTTTACAAAACGTATACAACCTTTCTTTAAAACCAAACATAACCCTCCTAAATCTACATAAAGCACCACAAACATCTTTTTCGAGTAAATAATAAAACACCAGTTCATTGTATTGATCAGCTGTTTAATTAATTAAATGAAATAAAACTTTGGAAGCATGCCAGGCGTAGCCCTTTGAAAATCAGCATGTGGGGCAGAGCCCTTAAGAAATTCGTTTATCAATACTTTTCGGCAAATCTACACACTCTAAGCTTCATTTTGATGTGACATATGCCTATATTTTTATTTGGTAAATGGCCTTAACCGTTTACATAAAATTTGATTGTATCAATTTAATAATATAATAGATATGATAGTTTGGACAGGTTTCAACCCTTCCGAGGCGTAATACATTTACACAGTTTATGTGTAGACTACATTATAACTCATAAAATAGTTCTAAAATTAAATGGATCTCCTTTTACAAACGTATATATAATAACCAGAAATTTTCAGATCGTCCTTGCGTGTATTTCATGCCGAAAATTTTGACGAAAGGCTTGCTTTTTATTACATAAACTATACCTATTTACAGTGTTGACCAAACAGTTGGCAAGAAGCATTAATAGATAAGCTATGTACCAAATATGATAATTTTAGCTCAATTCTAATTATGACAAAACACGAAGTAACTAAAAGCGAGTTTTGTTGGTGTAGTAAGCGTTGCAGGAGGTCTACTTTACACTGAATCGACGTTCACTTTTATTGCTTTTGATCTTCCGGCACTGTTGACTCAGCGAAACTGAACTTGTATTTTACAGTATTTCGTTATATTAAAACTGCTGTTGCATTAGGTCAAATTCCCAATAAGTCAATTGCTTTAACATAGACCACGTTTTTAGCTCGGACTGTACTATTTGACTTACTGGGACTTTTGATCTACAGACACTGCAAACATTGTAGTTTTTGACCTAGCGGCACAGGTATAAATTATTTGATCTTCCGGGACTGTTGACTTTCAGCAACATTCCCCTCATGGCCATGTTACTCTAAATAGTTTCAAACAATTGCCATTTAAATTAAACAAACAATGTTTTAAAATTCTGACTATTACAACAGCGCGAGGAAATGCCTCTTTCAAAAGGTTACAGCATTCTAAGTTATTAAGCTTCTAAGTTATTATGACTAATTCATGTGCGTCATGTGCATACGTGAGTTGTGGCCACCGCGACGACAACAACGACCGGTCTTTAAATGTATTAAATGTGTGTTTGTGTATTGTGCAATGACTGTTTTATGTTAATATATTCAAGACAAAGCGATAGCGGATACCTGAGGATGTCACTGTGCTAACGAAACGTGTCGTAAATAACAATAATTTGGAACGGAAAAAGGTAATATTATTATTATTTATAAATAAATATTGTTTAGTAGCCTATCAACAAACAATTAAACAAATAAGTTAAGGTATTAAACTATATGAACTTATTGAATTGAATATGTTCTAAACTAACCAAAACCAACTGAACTTGCTGTAACTTAGGCATAACGTTTCAAAATTCCGTTTGACAGCCATTCCCCATGCCTTTTCTGTTATTAAACGAAATTTTGAAACGGTAACGTAGCCTATACAGCAAGTTTGGTTAGTTATGTTATAAGTTAGTTTAGCTTAGTTTGATTTTATAATCCAATAAAATAGGCTATTAAATGTTTGCCTAAACAAGGTTCGGCCTACTTCTAAATTACCTAACTGTGTGATAATACAGCAATAAAATTTTACTTAAGAGCTACTAAACTAAGTAAATGTAATACAATAGCATAATAACAGCTAATGCTTATTGTTTTATTTTGACAACACTTGGAACAAAACACAACAAACACTTAAAAGACTGGTTATAAAAACTAACTTAAGTTACAAGCACCTTACAAGGGTGCACGGGGCTGGCACGGTAGAACGTATAACAATAAACAATCTTTTATACACTCAAATCCGACTTCAAAACATACGATACTTCGATAAAACCTCAAATTATTAAAAAAAAAAACACAACTTAAACACTTGAAACTTTGAAAACTACAATCGCTATGGGCCATAGCCATGGGGCACGGCAGGGGCAGACTGAGACTGAGACAGAATACAGATGACAGAACGACAGAACAGTAAACAACTCTTTTGCTTCAATTGTATGAGAGTCGTTCATTTCAGATCAGTGCAATTTTATGGTTTGCGCACGCGCAGTAGGCTAGTCCAATTCCTGCCCTGAAACGCTCGCACCAATACCAGCAATCACCACCAACCACAACGACCGTCTCGCCGCAGTTATGATCATATCCTAAATTTTTTGGAACTGCAACTGTTACATTTGCTTTAAGTGTCGCTCTGTGGAACAGATTGGATGGAACCGTTCCTGATATAAATAATAAATTAAATAGTCCCTCCCTTCGCCACTCGTGACTCAGAACCCTGCCTACCTGTCTCGCATTTCTCGTTTAGGGTCGTGAAGTGTTTCAAATATATACTAGGTGGCGTTCGCAGACGCGTCCGCAAAATTGAGCGAAGAGCAAAGTCATCAGGACACAAATTCAAACAGAAATAAACGGTATCAGCATTCTGACACATACTTTCTCCCATAAGTTTGTCAACAACCTTTATCATGTGTAAGCGGTGAGAGTAAATATACGGAAATGGGATTTGTACAATTTTGTTCAGAACTTAAAGGAATATAACATGTTAAATTTTTATCAAAATCGTTCGGGCCATTTTTGGGAAAATCCGATTTTTCTGTTATTTAATGAGGGTTTTATGGGAAAATGACATAATTTACAATAACTTTTGAACCGTAATTTTTACAGAAATGGGATTTGTACAATTTTGTTCAGAATATAAAGGACTATGACATACTAAATTTTTATCAAAATCGTTCGGGCCATTTTTGGGAAAATCCTATTTTTCTGTTTTTTATGGGGTTTTATGGGAAAATCCCTAGTTAAAATAAAAATTTCTAAAAAATTAAAAAAAGCTATCAAAATTGTAAGGACTATAACATACTATGTTAAATCAAAACCGTATTTTTTTCTAAAATCCTATTTTTCTTTATTTTATGGGGTTTTTATGGGAAAATAACATATTTGACCATAACTTTTGAACCGTAATTTTTACAGATATGGGATTTGTACCATTTTATTCAGAATTTAAAGGGCTACAACATACTAAATTTTTATCAAAATCGTTCGGGCCATTTTTCAGAAAATCCGATTTTTTCGGTTTTTTATGGGTTTTTATGGGAAAATCCCCATTAAAAATCAAAATTTCAAAAAAATGAAAAAAACACCTGGAGATACCATAGATTAGAACCTACATGCCAAATTTCATCGAAATCGGACCACAGGTGTAGTCTCTAGCTCTGTACACATCCAGACACACAGACACACACACACACACACACACACACACACACACACACACACACACACAGACATCACTTCGAAAACCACTTTTTTGGGTCCAGGGGGACCCAAAACGAATATATCCACTCAAAACTCAAACTCGAAAATTTTGACGAAAACAATACTTTCTCCATATACTATGGTATAGGGGGAGAAAGTAAAAAATTGTGTAGAGTTAAATACATTTTAAGCTTAAAACATTTGTTATTGTGTTTTCAATTTTTCTAAAACAGTATTGTGGTACAGTTCTAGCTAGTAAGGACAGAATTTAACCAAGTAGTTTCAGCTTTTACCTTTTGGTTACTACGATAACGACATAGGTAACAAATGTGATGATAAGTATATTTATTTACGGTAAACAAATTTAAATACATTGCACATTTCAATTTTTTGTACAGGTGGCCAAAGGTGAAATTACCCCCACCACAGCAAACCTGCAGACTAATCGAATTTCCATTTGCCTGATTGGATTTACACTAAAATGTCTCCTTAAAAATATCACATTTATTCCCTATTTAAATATAATTAGTTTAATGAGTACTTGGGTTTAGGGTAAAAAGTGTTGGTTTTTTCAAATGTTAATAATTTATAGTAATACTAAGATATAAATGCATTTTCCAAATTTTATCAAAATATGTTCATAAACAAGCAGGCTACAACAGTTAACTTATTCTCCATACGAATGACATAGGAATTTTAAGTTTACAATTTGTTTGATTTTTCTCCATGACCATTAGGCGCATAATAACGCTTCATTATACTAAATTATTTGTTTTTTAAGCTCTACAAAATAGTTTGGAAATAAATTGCAAAACTTTTATGTTTTTTGGGTCAAAAATGAGAAAACCCAATTTTTACCCCATAAACCCCCGTTCCCATAGTCCATGCTGGTTCGCGAACTCGTTCTAATAAATGTAGGTTTGCAATTTTATATCAAATTTAATCAAAATCGGGTAATTTTTGCTCGAGTTATTGTGCTAACAGACACACACACACACATATATATATATATAATTATTGTAGTAAATAAGTACAACTGAGCACCCTGAATATTACATTTTGAATTATAAGGTATTATACTATATATTATATTATATTCTCAGTTGTAATTATTTACTACAATAATTTAATTTATCAGCAGCCCTATTACGTGAACACCTAAATTAAAACATAAATAAATAAATAAATAAATATATATATATATATATATATTATATATCTTACTATACAAATAAATCTTAAAGTTTGCGAGTTTGTGCACGGCCACCTTTAACTCCAGGCCGTGGCCTGGTAGAATTAATTGGTAACGTCGCAAGTAGGGTTGTTTAGTGTTAGACGTCCCATAAGATAACATTTCAGACCAGGTGACATCAGCTTATTTATCCGCACTTTATTGATTTAAATTTAAATGAATGAACATACATTTATCAAACATATAAAAAATAAAACATACAGAATTCAAAACCAAAACAATACGAATTGAAAATCTATAATCTGTACATTTACAGAGGTATCATTATTTTCATAGTCCAGTAATCAAGCTTTCGTAAATACACAAATACCATTAGCTACAAAACAGCTGTTACAACCCTACTTGCGTCGTTGCCACTTCGAAGGCCACGGCCTGGAGTTAAAGGCAGCCGGCCGTGGTTTGTGTGTTGCTCAATCACGCAATAACTACAGAACGGATTGGGCTGAAATTTAGCATGACGATAGCTAATATTCCCGATTAACATATAGGCCTATTCTTATCTCAAAATTCCTTTCGGACTCCGCCCCAGTGGCTCTGCAGTTCCCTATGTTAACCTTACGAGTATTCATATTTAAAAGGAATTAAAGAATTTAGTCAGCTGTTTCAAATTTACAAGTTGGTTCTATAATATGCAATAGCATTAAAAAGTTATAAGGTTTCCCAACAGGGTGCAGCGTTATTGTTTTTTTTGTTTTTGCATATATGAGAACAGCTAATTTGAACTAAGCAGCAACAAAAAGCTGTGATACACAATGAAAACTGCCAAATTAGGATTGTTTACAGTTATGTTTATGTTTTTAATTTAAGGAATAATTTGCGATATTGTGTGACTCTTTGATAATTTGTTTTTTCTCTTGTTTAGGTTCAGTGGTAGAACATTATGGCTATGGTAGATGTGTTATACTATATCATATCGTAAATCTAAAGAACCAAATTTGATCAAACTGTGTTTTCCCCCATTGCAAATGCAAAGCTTGAGTATAACTGCAATAAGCATTTTATACTTATATGCCAGCCCCGTACGAAGGACGGGTGCTCTGCTAGTATATATATATATATATATACATATATTAATTTTAACGGATGGTGTTTTTGGTCTCTAAGGACCTCAAAATAAAAAAGTAAATCGGCCCCGGGTCCAGGTCTCACAATGAGTACTACGGTAATAGCTTATTCCCTACATAGGAAATTCGCTAAAAATAAAACGTAAAAATAACATAACAGTCGCTACACTCTGAAAAAATTAAAAATCTTAACAAAGGCGACAAAAAGATAAACCATAAAATATAATAAATATGAAAAAGTAATGCACAGAAGTGAGAGGAGTCAACGGTCCCAACCTATATCACCACACACTCTTGAACAGAAAGAAACATGCACTCACTGGCTCAGAAGTGAGGGGAGTCGAAGGCCCCAACACTAAGTCACACTCCTAACGAAAAGCTAATTGAAAAATACATTAAACATGAACACGCTCCTCAGACGAGTAGAAGTTAGTAAGCTCTCCCCTATGACGATTCTTTGAGAACTGAATGAGGTCAATGTAACTAGGCAAGCTGTTTTCCAGACGATGAAGGCGAGGCATAGCACTGTGGTAAGAATACTGAGTCAATCTATGAGCCCTCTCAAAGAGTCCTTTAGATCGAACCACCCAAGCACAACGAAAGTCAACCCTGCTCAACAAATCTGGTGAATCAACCGAACCTCTGATGATCCTCTTTAAGAGCAGCAAATCAAAGAGTTTGCTTCTCGAACTCAGAGAAAGAAAAGAAGCCCAAACCGACGTCCCATCTCATCCAGTGTGGTACTTCAAGGTAGTGAAAGCCCAGATTCACTCAAAGTAATAGGAGAAACTTCTTCTGTACACCCTCGAGAAGGTCAACATGGCCTATCAGGTATGGTGACCAAACTGGCGAGCAGTACTCCAACAGAGGGCGGACCAGCTGCACATACAAAGTCCTTAGGACAGGAGGTGAAAACCCATCTTCAGACATTCTGACAAAAAATCCCAGTCTAGAATAAGCAGTTTTACTTATGTTGAATAAGTGAATTTCCGGACTTAATTTCGAGGAAACTACCGTTACTCCGAGATCTTTCACTGTAGAGGATTCGGTGGAAAGTCGAACCAAATAAGTTTTAGTTGAACACCGTTACATTCGTGCGCCGAGAGAAAGAGAGCACAACGAAATTAGATATGTTCAAGTTAGTAAATAATTTTATGATTAATCAAAGAAATAATTTCAAATTCAGACATGTATCTGTATCAGAAATTAAAACTACGATAAAAAAATTAAAAAATAAAAAATCTGTAGGATGGGATGGGATTTCAGTTGAAATAATAAAAAATATTATGAACTTTATAGCGGAGCCACTGTATCTGATTTTAAATCAATGTTTTGATGAAGGAATTTTTCC